GCCTAGAGCAGGCAGCCCAGCGGGGCAGCTGCAGTACTACGTGGGAAGGCCCCTCACCTGGCCAGGGGTGAGCCTGTGGGTGGGAAGAGTGACATTCGACATCCTGAGTCCTGTCCCAGCTAGCCCACCCCCTCCCTGCCACGCCCTGACACACACACACACACACACACACACACACATTTTCCCACCCCCCCTTTTCCCTCCTGCAGTCCAGATTGTGAGTGGAATGTAACCAGAGAGGTGGGGGATGGGGGGTGTGCCAAAAGGCTGCAAAGGAGGGAGTCCCTTGTGTGAAAGGTGAGCCATGCTACTTAAGAGCTCTCTGGTGGCTGAGGAGCCTGAGACGGATGGGACCAGCTGGGGAAAGCCTGGGCGCCAAGGCGGCCGAGTGGGAGGGGCCATCCCCACCCCGAGGCCCCTTTTGGGCTGTTTGCCACCCAACCTCAGGACAGGCCTCCCAGGGAGATGCTGACCCTATGTAGCTAATACTGAGTCTCCACCTGCGGGAGGGGCCTTAGGGCGCCCACGGATGGTTCTAAGGTCTCTCTCTGCTTGACACCTGGCACTAGGGCACGCTCAACTGCTCATTCGTTCATGTCTGCAAATAAACTTCTGTTGTAGCATGGTGGTCACTTCCAGGCCCTGGGGACTGTAGGGACAGGGAAGCAGACCATGACAGATCCCTGGTCTCAGGTAGAGAAACAACTGTTCTAGATAGATGGATGGATGGATGGATAGATAGATAGATAGATAGATAGATAGATAGATAGATAGACAGACAGACAGACAGATAGATAGACCAGGACACTCAGTGTCTTCCTCTGGGCTCTGTTTACACATGCACACGGATACACAACACATAAACATACAAACAGAGCAGTTGCAGCTACAAATAGGACGGTGAGCATAGAGACCCTTGGAGGCCTGAAGGCAGCTGAGCCTGGGGCACTGGCTTGGGAGCTCAGCACTTGGGAAGCTGAGGCAGGAGGATTACAAGTTCTGGTCTAGTCTGGGATATAGAGTATTTATTTATTGTATGTATGTGTGGGTGCACACATACCAAAGAGGATAACTTGTGGGAGTTGGTTCTCTCCTTCCATATTGGTTAGAGCTACAGAACAGAACTTGGGTCACCATGCTTGGCTGCAAGCTCCTTTGTCCACTGGGCCATCTCATTAACTCCAGAGCTGGGATTAAAACCAGGCCATTTGGCTGTGAGGTCCTCAAGTGGGCAGGTGGGAACTGAGCTCCAGGATAGACTTGGAGGTTGCCACATGTCCTGTGGGCTTCCGCCTTGACCTCCGGGATGCTCTGTTATCTCAGAGCTATGGTGACTTGTCCAATAGTCATTGCCGGCTTTCAGACACCCTGGGTAGGAGACTTTCCCTGCCTAATTCTGCGACTGACGGAAGAGCGCCGATTTTGTGTGGTACCAAGTAGGGTCCCTGGTTTTTTCACCACTGGACAGTGACAGAACCCCAGGCTTCTGTGTGTCAGGAGAGAGAGAGAGAGAGAGAGAGAGAGAGAGAGAGAGAGAGAGAGAGAGTGTTAGAGTTCTACCTCTGAGCCACATGCCAGCCACAGGTCATATTTATACATTTCACACAGCCTGCCATCTTATATTTAAACGAAGGAGGATTTTCCTTCGCTACACAGTGAGTTCGAGATCATCCTGCATTACCTGAGATCCTATCTCAAAAAATAAACCAAAACGCCACAGTCACCACCACCTGCCAGCAGGGGAGTGCCACGGGACCAACCTGAACTGAGCATGAACCTGGCAGCACTTGGAAACAGAGGCAAGAGGATCTCGGGTTCCAGGGTCAGCCTGGGCTACAGAGAAAGATGCTAACACATACCAATACCAGGGAAGACACTGTGAGCTCACACAGTAGGGTCTCCTGTGTGTATATGCTACCTCTTTCCTGCCTGGCTCCTGACTGTGGAGGAATGCCCGGACACTGGGCAGTGTATACAGTCATGGCTCTGGCCCTCTGTTGGCCAGGGACAGCCCTCTGACCTCATTCTGAGGAAATGGTCCCAGCATATGATGAAGGAGTTGCCATGGAGACCTTCACCCTTTATGGCGCCTCTGGAGAAAGATTGAGGCCTGTGTGACTGAATCTGCTGGCTTCTCCTGCTTTCCCAGAATGTTCTCTGAGTGAACACCGTGCCATGTGCCTGTTGTTATTCTCTCATAGACATGGCTCAAGTGCCTGGTGATGGTTGTGCACACAGTAGGTACTTAGTTTCTATTCCTCTGGTGACAGATCACATCCGAGCATATGGTCTAGGGTGGACCAGTATTCAGCCCTCAAATAATTCCCACAAGGATCCAGATGGTCAGTGTATGTATATATCACACAGCCTGGTTTCTCTTGATCTGTCTATTTAAACCATTCTTAATAGGAGGTGACTGTGACAGCAAGGTCAGCTGACAGGACAGGAGGTCACGTCGCAGGCACGATATGCAGACTTCAGGAACCTGTGAGTCACCAAAAGGTGGGTAAGGTGACCACTCACAGCCCATGCCTCCAGGGCCAGCTCCTAGAACATGGCTCCTACTCCAGGGCCTCCCAGAGCTTCCCAGAGGAGGACAGTACCACTCAAGTCACACAGCACACCCAAGGCCAAAGCCTAACTGAGAGGCACCCGAGCCCTCTGGTTCTGCATGGGGTTTCTGTTTATGGACTATGGCTGGAAGTTGCCATTGGATTTTCAACCTGACTTTCTCCCTCTTTTTTCCTAGTTGTTCAAGAACGTAGCTGCCAGAGACTGCCTCACAGACACCAACAGGGGCCCAGGAGCAAGAGGGGACACCTGGACTTCCATGTGACATGCCCCTGGGAGCAGAGGGAAAACTTTTCTATAGCTATGACAGGATCCCATGTAGCTAGCATTCATGGCTGTGAATGTGGCTACTGCCAGACAGTAGCCAGGCTCCTCTCTTAAGTGGGGTGTGACCAGGATGCGTGTGCTTGCCCTCCTGAGATACAAGCTGGGCCTCATGCCCTGTGTACCTGACCCACATGGCTCAGGGAGATGTTTATCTGTAGTGGGAAGGGAGACAGAGAGGCAGAGAGACAGAGACAGACAGGAAGAGGACTGCCGAGAACCACACAAGAACAGCGAACCAGTGGCCATCCTGGATCATGCAGGTTAGCGACCGGAGAGCCAACCTTCCCAGATCCACCATGTCTTAGTTTTCATTTTTCAAAATTCATTAGGTTTTCAAGGATTCCAAGAGAGCCAGTGACGAGACCTCACACACTCTGTCCTCTCTACCTATGCCATTACATGTGTCTCCAGTCTCCTGTGTCCCCTCCGCAGTCCCGCCTCCCTAAGCGGGACTCCCACCCGAGTGTGGTCTCTGTCGTCCTCTGGTGGTCACATGCTATAGTGCAGGGCAGACAGGGACGAAGCTGATTTACTGGAAGAGATCCGGAGGAAACAGAGAAAAACCCAAGACAGACTGACGCAGGGATGTGGTCGTCCACTGGCTATCAGAGGAGGGATCCAGCCACTTCTGCATCCCAGGAGCTGGCCAAAGATTTGGAACATTGACACCCCTCACTCACAGACAGAAAAGCCACAGTCTGTCAATGGGCACGGGAGGTTGATGCTTCCTCTGCGGATTGGAGCAGTAGCCTCTGAACGAGCCCCATCCCCCCATGCCAGGGTGACTCATCTACTCAGCCAATCTGCAGAGACCCCGATTCCAGTAAGGCTATGTTCTGAGGCCTAGGGTGGACATGTACCCTGGGGAGATACTTTTCAACTCAGCAAGGATCTCAGAGGGGGAGGGATTGTGGGCCAGGAGACACAGAGCAAGCCACCTGACATCATTCAGAGAGAAAACCCACAGGACTGGTACAGCCCCCGTGGGAGTTAAGGGCCACGGCTGTCCCCAAACGGAGGGTGCAGTACTGTAAAGAACACACAGAGATTTGTCTGTATGTTGTCTGGGGGAACCTGTCCCCGCCCCCCAAAGGGGGAGCATAACACAGGTGCCACAGAGGAGCCGGCTCCCAGCGCCCGGCCTACCTTCCTCTTCATCCCTGTGGCAGACCCTCCAGTTCCTGTTAGACGATCGTCTGGGAGGCTGGAAAGACCAGCGCTTTGCTTCCAGACACAGCAGAGCTGGGGCGTGGGATTTGAACCTGGTGCGTGGGATTTGAATCTGAAGCAGCTGACCTTAACGTCTCTGCCTTGCTAAATGTTTAAAACAAATCCCAGCATGATGGAGCCGGGACGCACACAGAAACGACCCAGTGTGACAGGTGTCCCGGGGCGCTATCAACATCCTGCCTTGGGTTCTCTGCCTCCACCACCAGGCCTGGGTATGCCTCTGCTTTGTACCTTAAGTGAAATGGGAGGCGCTGACCTGCAGACCTCTTACCGTGAATAAAATACAGCCGGGTCAGTGGGATGTTTTAGTCCTCTGACGCTGGGGTCACCTTCCCCAACTCTTAACACTGGGGGTCGCACACTCAGGGAGACCTAGGACTACCTGATCATTACTTTCCCACCCCCAGTGACACTGGCTCCTAGGCCCCGTCCACCTCGCCTTCTGCCTTGGGGGATAGGGGACGACTCGCCTATACAGCAGGGCCCAGGGTGAAGTCCCAGGCAAGCTGCATTCGGGGATCTCCCTGTTGGCTCCTGGTGGATATAAGCACTTTGAATCCCAAGAACACCATATTCAAAGGCATGTGTAGGCTCTATGTCCCACTTCCAATTCATTTCAGAGAGCAGCTAAGCCCCAAGGCAAAGCTGGCCCTCTTCACCCCGCAGGGGAGGCCCTGGTTGCCCAGCAACCAGCTGGGCTCCTCCCAGGGCTTGCCTAGGGATGGCCCGTTGCCTGGCAACCAGGCAGCAGAGTCCCTTGAGCCTAACCAGACCACACAGCTGGGCCCAGTACTAGCTGCCTTCTGACTAGGGGACCCCTGGGGCCCTGTCCTTATTCCCTAAGATCCAGGCAGCAGGTGCCTCTGTCCGCAATGAACGCCGTCCTCTCCAGGTGAGCAGCCTGCGCTGCTGGGAGGGGTTTGCAGGTGGGATTCTCACGTTCTGCCACATCGGGGAGGAGGGTAGGTGAGCTCCCTGCCATCCCTCCTCAAAGTGGAGGGAGGGCTTGAACCATAGAGGTTACCAGAATCCAATCTGTCTGTCTCACCTTTGCTGCCTGAAGACCAGGTGTAGCCACTCGCTGGTCTGTTTTCTGCTTTCACGTGCCTCCTAGAAACCCCTTTAAAAGCTCAGGCCCCAGACCTTGCCACTGCTCTGCCTAATGGCCCCAGACTCACTGTCACCCGCCCTGATTGACTTTGAATCTCCCTGTGACTCAGAGTTCTGGTGCTCTGGATGGACCCAGAGTGCTCCTTAAAAGCTGGCTTCCAGCCTTACCCCCATGGAGCCTGATTCCCAGAGCCTGAGACCTGAATGTCTTCTAACTGTGTGTGAGTGATGCCGTCCTGGGGTCTGGTCTACTGTATGCCCTTGAACAGGATGCTCTGGGCTTCTGTTTGATTTTAAAATGTCGACAGCGACCTCTTCTAGAGAAGTGTGAGCAGAGCGTTTGCACACTATAAAGTTGAAGCTCGTGTGAGACAATGCCCATCATGGGTTCTGCTTCAGGGCACCACTAGAGGGCACAAGAGGGGCTTGGGTTCTAGAGAGGGAGGCCAGCAAGGGACAGGAACAACCTGGGGCTGAGGGGCTGAGAGGTGGGGACCGTGGCAGGAAACAGACGGAGGCAGATACTGAGACAGCCTCTGATACTCTTCTGAAGACTGAGCCCACAGGTTGTCACTGAACGCTGGCTGTGGGCGGGTTACGGGACTGTGGGAGGTGACATGAAGCCTGGAGGTGTGTCAGAGAGGGGGAGGGTGTGGAGTGGTGGTCAGTGGTCTGCAAGGTGCTCGGTGGGGGAGCCCAGGACTGTTGGGAGGGAGGAGGGACCAATCAGAGGAGTAAGGGTGATAGAGCCCAAATACCCTGCAGAGAGCTTGGTGGGGCTGGATGGCACCATGTAGCACCCAGTGGTAGCCGTCACAGCTGTCCACAGTGACACCTCCCTGTTGGAGCATCCTGGGTCCTAGGTACCAAACAGACTGCAAGAAACGAGATACTGAGAAGGGGAGTGAGTGTGCAAAACAGTCCCCTTAAAAATTAAGTATAAATTTAATTATAATATAATTGTAAGTATAAATCAATTATGTATGCATGTGTTTTATAACACACTGTGCACACTGTTCGGAGGACAGAGAAGGACACGGGGTGTCCCTATACTATTCTCTGCCTTATTTATTGAGACGGGATCTCTCACTGAATCAGGAGCTGGGCTGGCAGAGAGCAAAATCAGGTATCCTCCTGTCTCCGTGCCCCACAATGCTAGAGTTACATTACAGGTGCATGTAGGAGCCATTCCTGACCCCCCCTCTTTTCTTGAGAGAAAGAGAGAGAGAGAGAAAGAGAGAGAGAGAGAGAGAGAGAGAGAGAGAGAGAGAGAGAGAGAGATTTGCATTGTTTTCTGTTTTGAGGCAGTGTTTCTCTATGTAGTCCTGGCTGTCCTGGAACTCTGTGTAGACCAGGCTGGCCTCAAATTCACAGAGATTTGCCTCTCTCTGCCTCACTAGTGCTGAGATTAAAGGCACGCCTGACCACGCTCAGTTCATAATTTTAAATTTTCAGTAATGTATGTATGTATACACACACACACACACACACACACACACACACAGAGGTGGATTTGTGCACAGGAGTACAGGTGTCTGCAGAGGCCTGTGGGGGTCGTCAGAGTCCCTGGAGCTGTGGTTACAGGTGGTTGTGAACCTGAGAACTGAATTTGGGGTTATCTACAAGAACAATAGACACGCTAACCACTGAGCCAGTTCTTCAGCTCCCCCTCACCCCATTTAACACAGGTACTGGGGATCTGAACTCCATGCTTGTGGGGTGTTCCCCTCTCAGCCCCTCACTGAGCCATTTCTCCAAACTCTTGAACTGTCGGCCTCAGATAGATTCCCGAAGGGTCATTCATTTAACCCTAAAGCTTCTAAGAAGGAAGAAAGGGGAGATAGCATGGGAAGGACCCATGGGAGTGGACAGAGCTGGAGGAGAAGCTTCTGCAGTTGGTATAGTGGTGTGGGATGCTGCAGCCCTTCAGAAGCCCCAGGAACAGAAGCCAGGTTTGATCAGAGGGCCCACCTGATTCATCCACTCTTGCTCAGTCATTGTCATAGGCAGGTCTTGATTCCTGCCTCACTGGGCCCAAGATATCCCTCAGAACTGCCCAGGGACCAGGTGCTTGGAAAGTGCTTGCACACTGGAGAGGCAGGTATGGTGGTCCCAGTGATCATGGCCTTTCTGCATTTAGCGTTATCACCCCCACCCAGGGACAGCCAGGTGAGGGCCATGGAGAACACGGTGACGAATGCTGAAAGGTATTTTGGTCAGTTCTGCTCACTGCTGGCCTCCTACACACGAAAGACGGCCCGGCTGCGTGACAAGGCTGACCAGCTGGTGAAGCAGCTGATAGACTTCGCCAACACAGAGAACCCCGAGCTGCGGGCCACCATTCGAGACTTCGCCGAGGATCTGGCCAAGGTGCAGGATTATCGGCAGGCAGAGGTGAGCACGACAGCTTCGGGTAGGAGTGAGGAACATTCCCTCCCCTTGTGGTCATGCCGGTGACAGGAGAGAGAGCTGGAAGGTTTCGAGGTGTTAGAAGCCACTATTGGGAGCCCCATGAGGCCCATAGATTCCTGGGTGTGGTCCAGAGGATAAAGGAGGTGGAGTGATCGATGTCTCTTCAGAAACACCCTGTATGACTGGCAGAGAAGAATGCTCAGGTCCCCTGTGGCTGAGCATGACAGAGGGGTACACACGGCACAGTGTGTGACAGATAGCTCCTACTACACCCACATAAAGTCAGGCAGGTGCAAGCTCTTGGGACAGAGGGTGACTGTCCCTGAAAGAGGCAGCTATGCTTCTCTCAGGGTGCATGGAGATGTCACATGATCACCCGGGCGGCTGGCTATGCTCACTGTCCTTTTGGTGAGGACAAGATCAGTCTGTAGCACAGTCTGTCCTGGATCTCGAGGCCAGCCCCCTGCCTCAGCCTCCTGGGTGCCAGGATTTTGAGTATGAGGCACCCTTTCTTGGTCTAACTAATGGGAAAATTGAAACTTCCAGATCCATGCTGGGCAGTTGAGTGCCACTCAGCTTCCCAACATCAGCATCCCCACCTCAGCATCCCCACCTCAGCATCCCCACCTCAGCATCCCCACTCAGCATCCCCACCTCAGCATCCCCACTCAGCATCCCCACCTCAGCATCCCCACCTCAGCATCCCCACCTCAGCATCCCCACCTCAGCCCTCCACCTCAGCATCCCCACCCAGCTTCAGGGCCTGGTTTCTGCCCCACCTTCCATGCTGAAAGCTGGCCCTGAGCCTAAGAGAGAGCTCACATAGCCACCAAGAAGGACATTCTGTTCTTAAATCTTTAGGACATCAAAGGGACAGAGAAAGGAAATGCTACTGAGTTTTCTGAACGTGATGAAAGGGTGGGGCTGTCCCTCTCAGGATCCTTTAGCATGACACGGTTCCTCTCAAGGGTCAGGGGGCTGTAAAGGAGTGACCTAGCAGGGACTCTGGCCACGCCTGCTCCTTTGGCAAGCCCAACCCCCAAGATGCCAGGAGACATGACAGGAGGACAGACCTCTCTACCTGGCATGCACAGACACTGGCACCCAGGACTTCTCCATCTAACCCAGAACCCCTTTGCTGCTGGTGCAGCCCCAAGACCCAGAACATCGCCTCATGATCCTACAGTGCACTGGGGGTATGTTAGCTTGTCATTGCTGAGATCAAGTGCCTGACACCTAAGGAAGGAGGGTTTATCCTGGCTCACGTGGTGGGGACGTCGAGTCATGGTGGCTAACGTGAGATAGCTGGTCACATCGCCTCTGCAGTCGGGAAGCAGAGTGGCAGAGGCGGTGGCTCCCTTCGCTTTCTCCTCTTTCTACAGTTCTAGACTCCAGCCCGTGACATGGGGGCACCCACCGTTAGGGTGGGTCTTCCCATCTCAATTTAATGCAACTTAGAAACTGCCCCCACAGATGTGGCCAGACTTTCTCTGCTAGGTAATTCTAGGCCCCCTCGAGTTGAGAATCAGTGTAAACTGCCACAGGCTAGAGGGGGACCTTGTCCTTTCTCTCTCCTTCCTGAGCTGTCAGCTGCTAAGGGATCCCGGAATCAGAAGCCTGGGACGGTGCTGGAAGTCTGAGGGTCTTACATTTCCTCCTGCACCCCCTGGCCCCGCCACTAGAAGTCAGGAAGAACAATAGCTCTGAGTTCTACTCCAGTAGAACCTCCATCCACGCAAGTTTCCAACCATGTCAGCACCTTGCGGCAGTCTGGGGCCCAGAACTACATTGGGTGCAGGAAAGAGAAAGGTCTGAAGTCACCTCTCTGCTTTGCTGGGACTCTCCATCCAAACTGTTCCCAGAACATGCCCTGCACCCCAAAGTTCTATGTTTGGTGTTGTCTTCCTAGACTCTGCACGTGTCCCATGAGACACACTGGAGCATAGTCACTGTCCCAGCGCACAGATGGGGACACCAACTTAGAGAGACTAAGCACATGGCCAGAGCCCTGGAGGGCAGAGCCAGGCCTGGTGCGCCATTTTCCAGGGCTCTCTGTGTGTCCACCCCAAGTGCAGGCGCTGCTCATGAAAGCTGTCTTCTCTGCTTCTTTCACACTGCCACATGTACCCTGAAGGTCGAGAGGCTGGAGGCCAAGGTCGTCAGCCCCCTAAAGCTCTACGGTGCCCAAATAAAGCAGACCCGGGTGAGCTGGGTGCACCTCAAGGTGTGCAGGGGTGGGGCCTGGCCCCCTTGGGATTCCTAGGAAATGGCCCTCTTTTTCTGTGCAGGCAGATATCAAGAAATGTAAACGTGTCCAGAATAATGAGATTAAACAACTGGAAAAGCTGGAGAAATTGAGGCAGAAGTCACCCTCAGATCGACAAATGATTGTATCCTTCCTGCTAGGCCGGGTGGCCATCCCATACAGCGTACTGAGGGGCTTGGGGATCCAGACCCACTGGGCAGGGGCTGCTAATGGGTACCACCTGCAGGCCATCTGGCTTCACCTGAATCCTTAACAGTCTTCCTCAGTCCCAGGTGAGTGAAAAGTGTCCCATTTTGTCTCTGGCAGGGCAAGCTTTCGGCATTTTAGACAGGTTAAAAAAAAAACCTCATGGAAGAGCAGGCTGGATTCCCCAGGTGAGGCCAGCACACATGAGAGCGGCACAGCAGGGTGAGGCAAAGGAAGGGTGGTTGCTTAGACCAGGAGATTTGGGCTCTGTCCAGCAAGCCACCTAGTCATGGAGTCGTCTGTATCCTGATGACAGGGTAACTACTGCCATCCCCAGCCCCGCTGCCCAAGCAAGCCCAGAGAAGCTTGAGTATGAATGCCAGTCCCAGTGAGATGGTGGACACCACCATCTCTCCCTGGCTCCATCTGCCTAGGAACTGGGTGTAGGACTGTGAGGGCTTGTCACCCCTGCCCTGCTTGTCACTAGACTAGGCTTCATTCAGAGTGACCCTTCATGGACCCAAGTCATAGTTTTGCTTCCATACCTGGTGACATTTTGGATTGTCATGTGGGAGGGTGTCACCATGACAGTCACAGTCTAGCTGGCTTACACATACCACACACATACACAGACATACATAGAAACACACCACACAGACAGATACACACACACTACACACAGACACACACATACACCACACACAAACACACACATATAGACACATACACGAGACACACCCCACACAGACACCCCACACAGACACACACATACACATACCACACCCATGAGACATACACACACACACACGACACATACCACACATACACATGACACATACATACACACACACGACACACCCCACACACATATCACACAGACACACACACATATAGACACACACATACACACACCACACACACAAACATACACATAGACAAACACACACACCATACACAGACACACACACCATACACACACATATACACACACACACACCACACATACACACACAAACACACACACTCCTTACAGATTGAGGTCAGAATCCACTGTGGGGCCCTCTGGCCTCTTAATGCTACTCTTCTGGGAATCTAGGAATTGGCCCCACCCCTCCCAGTGTCTAGGCCACACCCCTCTGGGCTCCTCAGTCCTTGTCCTCCCTCCCCCACCTTTCCTCTGCTGTCCTGCCTTTCTCCAGCTCCCCTCCAGCTCACTCCTGTCAGCTTATCAGAGAATTCAGGATCACTAAGAACCTCAGGTCAGGTGACTCAGCAGACCACAGCCGATGCAGCCTGCCCTATCTGGTGTCCTGTGCACAGTGCACAGGGCTTAGGAGGCAGACATCTTTGAATCCACCCTCCTGGTGTTCATTCTGTAACACGAGGAACACCACGTCGGAAGCAAGGGGGTCAGGCAGGAGTGAGCACCTCCAAATTTTATCCTAGCTTCTACCAGGGCCCTACCTCCTAGTCATCCATCTGTCTAGAGCCCAGGTTTCCTCCCCCGTTGGGGACCTTCTGGGCGCCAGCCTCTTGCTCCCCTGTCCTGTCATTTCACAAGCATTTAGTTGGTGTTAGGACCATATTCTAAAGAAGAGGACCGTGAGGGCCATGGAGACGGCTTCCTCAGTGTCACTCATGGCCTTAAATGCCAAACTCAGAACTCAGTTCCAGTGAACACTGCTCAGGCACTGGGCTTGGTGTGCAGGTGGCTTTGCTCTGCAAGGAGGGACCGAGCCATTCCCCTGCAGTCATCCAGGGGCAGACTCAGTTACCAAGAATATGGAGGCCCCATGGGATAAAGCGCGGACCCGCAAGTGCCCACCTCGGAATGATAATTGTTAGCGGTGCTGGAGATGATGGCTTTGGGGCCCTCGAGGGTTCTCACATGCAAAGCACGGGCTACACTGTCAAGTGGCTCTGTGCCTCTGACATCTGATTCTCCCAACTTCCTGAACAGGTTTCATTACCTTCTCCCAGTTATATGCAAGGAAATTAAAGTTCAGAGAGGTTAAGTGACCTCAGAGGTCACACAGCTATGAAGCAGGTCTGTCCGGCTCATGACCAACGTTCCGCCATAATCCCGCCTGACCATTTCTCCACTGACCCAAGTTAGCAAGAGACCCCAGGAGACAGGAGAAACTGCCCCAAAGAAGCCTAAGAACAACCCAGAAGAGTAGGTATCTGGGGGCCAGGACCACCCTGTGACACTTTCTACCTCTTGTGACCCTGAGGCCAGGCGGAGACCAGTGCACAGAGGGCCTCGGTGGACACAAACCGTTCTACCCACCACCTGGCAGAGACCGTGGATGCCTTCCAGGAGCAAAAGCTGAAGGATCTCCGGGTAGGCAGCGGCAGCTTCGTGTCAGTGTGTGCACACGTGTGGGTGCGTGAGCGTGTCTGTGTTCGACAGTGTGTGCATGCAGCGTTGTGACCACACGGCCTTCAGTGGCCAGGGCTGTGGGGAGAGTTGATCCAGTGGCAGCTGAGAGGCTATCTGCTCAGGGAAGGCCATCCTTCCTCACCCAGCTGTTCGGTGCTCTGGACACAGCTCCCAGTCAGGAGAACACTGAGGTAGAGTTCTGTCCCATCATCCCCTCCCTGCTCTTCTTTTTCACCTGTGTCCACAAGAAGTCCTAGCTACCCCCTCAGACTCTAAACACCCTTTAGAAAGCAGCCACGCTGACGAGGAGCTCTGAGGCAAACAGGGTCCCCTTTATCTCCACCAGACTGCCCCGCCCCCAACACCAGGGAACACTAGGTCAAGCCCCAGGTCTTGTAAGAGGTCTCAAGGAATTTGCTCTTGCAGGACTAACTGACCATGGATATCCTTGCCTGCCCCATTCTCTAGTTCGCTCTGTCCGCTCTTCAACCTCAGGAACCTCTTGACCAACACTTCTGATTGGGCCTTGTTCTAAGATCAAAGAACAATTCCTCCCAAGGGAGCAGCACAGGCCTATTACTGGTGGAATGAATAAATGAACATATAAATGAACAAAGCCAGGAACTGGTACAGGCTTAGATGGGAGGACTTTCTTTTTTCTTTTTTTTTCTTCTTCTTTTTTTTTTTTTTGGTTTTTCAAGACAGGGTTTCTCTGTGTAGCCCTGGCTGTCCTGGAACTCACTCTGTAGACCAGGCTGGCCTCGAACTCAGAAATCCGCCTGCCTCTGCCTCCCAAGTGCTGGGATTAAAGGCGTGGGCCACCACCGCCCGGCTATCGGAGGACTTTCAAAGGGCCACTGTGTGAAAGGGATTTGGCACTTGTGGGGTCTTCTTGCCTTTTTGTACAGGGCTATGCCCCAAAACTTTAAAAGGCTTGGGGTCCATGGTGTGACCCTGTGATGCTGCTACACTGACATATGCTCCTCTCCCACAGAGAATCTTCTCTGACTTTGTGACCATCGAGATGGTTTTCCACGCAAAGGCAGTGGAGGTGTATTCCAGTGCTTTCCAGACGCTGGAGAACTACGACTTGGAGAGAGACCTGCAGGTGGGTTTCACCTCCGTGGGCTGTCTGTGTGTCTGTGGGTTTCTATCTGGCTTGTTCTGCTGCTGAGCTATTTCAAACACCTGGTCCAGAGGTCACCCCTGTCAGGGGACTCTTCCCCTGGTTACCCAGGATATCATCTGTTCAGCACCATGGGACTATTTAGAACTGAAGAGGAACAGCAGGGATAAAAAGCCTCTGTGGCTGGCACTCAGCTTTCAGTGCAAAGCACTGACTGTCCCCAGCCACACGGATTAGATCGCAGGCATGCTTCATCTGCAGAACTCGCCTCAAACACCCTGCTGTGAGCCAATCACCTGCGGCTTTATCTTGTGGCTTCGAGTCAAAGTCTGGAGCAGGGCTATTTCACAGGCCTCTTCCTCGGTGTGCAAACGGTGATGGAGGTAGCTGTCCTCCAGACACAGGCTCTGTGCAGGAGGGAAAGGCACCTTGGGAGGTAGTGCGGGGTTTTACGGGTGCAGGGCCTGGTAACTGGAAGCTATGAAGCCCACAGCCTGGAGTGTGCCCCAGGTTCCCTGTGGTGGATTGTTCACACCAGCCAGCAGCCGGGGAGCATGAAAGCCTTGGGGGAAGGGAGCAAGAGGAAGTTACTCTGTGACTACAGGTGACCCACTAAATCTGGCACTCAGGAACAGACGGGAGATGAAAGATTCATCAAAGGGTTTTTATATAAGCTATAAAACCACACAGGAGGCTACAGAAAAACCCCATGTTCTCCCAAGTTTTCATTCATCACGATAGCCTTAATCACAATCCCCCTGCCTTAGCCTCCTCAGTGTCCAGGGTTACAGACAGGCCTGTGGCCCAAGTCTCAGGTCTACAGTATTCTGTCAGGTGTTGAGAGTGATCTCCAACCCGCCATTTTCCCGGGTGACTGTTACCTAGTGTCTTTGGGCCTCAGTTTTCCCATCTCTTTGAAGGGATTGAGATTAGAACATTCTCTCAGGGGGCTGCTGTGGGGTCCATGAGATAGCAAACAGGAAATGCCCAGAGATGCCTCATAGCCTCTTACCTGTGCTTCCTACCTCATTCCTGAGCTTCTAAGCTGGATCCAGCCACCCTGATCTTTCCTTGGCAGGACTTCAGAGCCAAGATGCGTGGAATTTATGGGCACAGCGAAGCTCGGCCGCTCACAGATACCAACCCTGCTCCATCTGTCCCCTGGCCTCTGGCCAGCCAGGTGAGCATTTATATATCACCAGAGTTAATCCACGGGCAAAGGGAAGAAACCAGAGAAGTGGATGGACGGCTGAGAACTGCAGCAGCAGTGGCACTGCTTGGGGGGACTGCCATGTCCACCTGTCTGTGCTTGCCACCTCAGAGGTACGCTGAGGGGAGTGCACTGGAAGGGCGCCGGGAGCTCTGGCAGGATGACAGGTCTGACTTTATTTCACCTGGGCCACAGGCAGATTCAAAACTCCTCAGATGTTAGGAGTAAAGCATGCACACCGAATGTCACCTGTCGGCTTGGAAAAGGTTTGCTCTCATCAGCCTTAAGCTAACAATCTCAGGGAAACTGGCAGTGCTTGCAAGTGAGATGTGGCCAGGGCAGGCATGGCCCCAGAGTCACAGCAACAGGGAGTAAGGACTGTGAAGAGAGGGGGCCATTGTGCGGGTCTGTTACTGAGCTTCGTGAGGATCTTTTCTAACCACAGTGAAGGATTTGGACTTTCTTTAAACTCCCATTCCTTGCTTGACAGCCCCACTCTCTCCTGACCTCACCTGCCTAGCGGCTCACGGTGCCACCTCTCCAACCCACAGTCACTCCTGGTCTGGACGTTGCATTTGTGACTTTTCTTTCTGCCACTTAGAGCGTTCAGAGCACCACGGCACGTCAGGGGAAGGAGACTGGAGACGAAGAGGAGAGTGAGGCTGACTCCGTGGAGGAGATCCCCCTGGAGGACCTCAAGGGACAGCAGCAAGGACACCGAGACTAGGAAGAGGATCCCAGTGGCAGGTGGAAGGCCCAGGCTGGCCTGGACTTTGGTTCATTCTGCTTGTGTTCTCGGGTCAGGGATCCCCCGGGGGCTCGCTTTCTTTATCGGCACAGTAGGCTGCTCTGCAGACCCACATTCCTGGTGTCAGTAAAAGATATGTGAATCTCAACTGCGTCCATGCTTTTGTCTGTTTTCTGATTTCGTCTGGGGACAGGAGTGGACACACTCATGTTAATGCTAAAAGAATGGTGGGTTAGTTTCTGAGGTCTTCCCGGCCAAGTACCACCAACTGGTAGGCCAAAGCAGCAGAAACACGGACCTCTCAGCCTGGAAGCCATAAGCCACACCAGGAGTCAGAGGGTAAGCCACAAGCTATGTCAGGTGTCGGAGGTCCTAAGGCTGGGACGGAGGGGCTGTGCAGACCTCTGTTCAGCCTCTGGCAGGTGCAGTCACACTCAGCTTCTGTTCCTGTGCCCAGTGTCTGCTTTTGATTCTGCATGATGTCCTTCCTATGTGCACAAAGGTCTGTGCCCAAATGCCCCCTCAGCAAGATCAGGGTCCCTAGAGTGGCTGCCTCCCAAGCCCTCTGCAAACCATCTGCAGGCTCTTTGCCTCAGGGCTTAACTCTCTGGTGCATGAAGTTGGCAGATGGGTACTGAACTCAGCCATGACAGACATATCATGATATAGACAGTGGCCACGGGGCCACAGACACACAGAAATCCACAGTGGGGTAGACAGAATAGGTGGGGGCTACAGGAGCATGCGTGGAGTAAGCCCTTGGCACACTTTTCTAGGGGATCTGCTCCCTACGAAATATGAGGACTTTGTAAGCATGCCAGGGGCCTAGACCTGAGGAGATGTCTCTGTCGTTTGCAATTTTGTTCCACAGACAACTTGGGTGAACCATGAGGCTTGGTCACCAGCTAGGCATCAACGTGCCTCTTGACTCTGCCTCCTCTCTGAGCCAAAACACTCCCCTCTCCTTCCTGGGAAGTGACAGGTATCAGACATCAATTCTGGCCCCACATGACAGGTGATGGTCAGGTCCCAGTATCCGACCACACTCTGTCCTCAGGCAAATCCTAACCTAGTCTCCGGTCTGTCTAGTCAGGCAGGTCAGATTTGGGTGGGGGCATCTATTTCTGCAAGGACAGTGACGTGACTATGTATTCCGTGAAGTCCTCGAGGATATGTGAAAATAAGTTAATCTGACTTCTTTTTAAAAGATAATTTATTTCAGTTTTCACCTCCTGACAAGACAAAGTACTATAACTATGGATATATACACTTTTTTTTTCCTTCTTCACAGGAAACAGCACTGCCTGACATCTTCGACCTCACACCTTTCTCAACCTTAATTTTAGAACATGACCTGGCAGGACACAAAGTTGTGTAACTAACATACAAAACACAGCATCACTGGGAGCTGCTGGCAAGAAATGGATGTGGAATCCCAAGAAAGAACAGACTGCAGGGAGGATCTCTACAGAAAGCTGCATTTAAAACCAGGTACAGCCAAGGCAGCCGATGGTCCAGGTCCTCGAAAATTCATGGGGATACATGCCAGCTGTCTGAGCCTCTAGTATCTCCTAGCTGTCAAATGACAACTCATCCCTCCCAAGGATCTTTATCATGAAGTCACAATCCAAGGCCACTGACCAGGGCTCTTGATGCTAAACCAGCACTTCTTGCAAGGGTGGCTGTGAGCCAACCTTCTTCCCCAGGCAGGGTCTCTTTCCTACTTCTCAGTAACACGCCCATCATCTAGGAGTGAGGACGGGATGAGACCAGCCTTAGCTCAGGATCAAAGCCAAGGCAATCCATAGGGAGGGCTCCTTTCTACATAAAGTGCAAAGTCTCTGGAGTTACAGCTCTCAGGGGAGCATGGCTTGCAGCTGGGCCCAGGCCACTGACGGTCAGAGCCTGGAGTCTGCAGTGAGGCTGGTCCCCCAAATCACCACCTTCCTGGGGAGGTCTATGAACATGGGCATCCACCTGCAGCTTCTCAATCTAAACAGACCCGAGGCTGTGCTATGAGGCTGATCTGCACCAGAGACGAGATGGGGCAGGCTCAGCCCTTAGTGAGGGCTTTGCAGCTGCCTGGGGGGGTGGGGGTGGGGAGGGGAGCAGGAGCCTGGAGACAAGGAATCTCTGCTGAGAAGGGTCCTGTCATTTCCCTGAGGCTGTGGGGCCAGTGCCACCTCCCAGAGTCTCTTCCTACTGCCTTCCTCTAGTTCTCAAGTCTCCAGGCCGAATGTGGGCTGGGAACCGGAATAAATCTGTTCTAGCTGACCTTCCCTCCCTAACAGAAAACTGGTTGGAGTTTGGTGCCCAGGAAGGGCAAGGCTGGGTGTGAGTTTGTGGCCCGGGACTGCTAACATCACAATTAGACCTCCGCTTTCCACATACTTCCCCACACGGACGCCTGGGTCCCTCCCATTAGCAACCTAGAGTGGCAGGTATTTCTAGAGTTGAGCACTGTCCATGAGCCCTGTGTCCCTGGGCTGCAGAAACAGGGTCAGACCACCCACTGCTTCCTCTCAGGTGAGGAGGGAAAAGGCAGGCTGTGAATCCCATTTCTGCATCAGGCTAAGTCTCAAGCTAGGGCACTGGCTCTAAGCCCACCTTGCATACCTAGGACCATATTTGATTTTTTTTTTTTTGAGACCAGGTTTCATTGGTCCCAGGCTGGCTTTGAACCCCCTATGTAGCTGAGGAGGACCTTGAACTACTGATTCTCCCTCCTGCCCCCACCTCCTGAGGGACTACAGATGTACAATAGGCCCAGCTAGGAAGACCTCCTTCCTGTGCAGATGAAGCTTGAAAACTAGCCTTGACCCCAGGCCACTTGAGATGCCAGGCTCCTCAGTGTCTCTGTGTCTCAGACCAGAGGAAAATCACAGTCTGGCAGGCTGAACAATGCAGATCTCTCAATGTGGTAACAACGCGGCTCTGCCTTTGGCTAGACACTCAGCAGAAGTAGCCTGGAGGCTGCCGTGGTTAGCCTCCAACCCCCACAGTATCCTGATAAGCTGAACACAGCAGAGCTGTGGCCCACTACTGGCCTGGTTTCAGAACAGGGGACTTTTTTTTTTTTTTCCCTGAGAGGGCAAACACTATAATGTACTTGACACTGATTTGTACACCTTGAAGGTCATAACCCAGGACGGTTTGAATGTGTGCTAATGGGCCTGCATAGATCTGGGCCACTACCAGCCAAGACTGGAGATACTGCCTGGAATTATCCAGGTAATCTGAACTGTCTGTGGTTCACAAGCTCAGCAGGGCAGCCAAGGAGTTCCTGCCAGCGAGCTGGGTTCATGCCTGCCTGGTGGGCCCTAGGAGAAAGCTATGACAGGAAGAAAGAGTACCTCAGGGGTGGATTAGTGACCTCCCAGAGACACTGGCTAGAGGCTCCTAGACAGGAAATGCTCACTAAATCTAGCTGTGAACAGAGGACATCTGCAGGCGATGGTGGGACCACCCCCAGGCACCTGCAAGCTTTGCTTCCATCAAGGGCTGCCTTGTCCCCGAAGGGTTACCATGTCCTTAGCAGTGCATGTGGGTCTAACGTGGGTCAGAATTTTCTGACTGTGGAGCTGGCTTTGCAACAATAATGAACAAGAAAGAGACAGACAAGAGAGAGCCATCCTTCCTTCTTCCCTAAGTGACTGTCTCAAAGGTTGGTGGGGACAGTCTCAAAGTCACTTCTGAAGTCTGTGTTGGAACCATTGGCACACTGCCCCTTAAGGTGGTCCGTGGTGGCACGAGGGCAAGGCCGAGGTCAGACCACAGGTGCTGCTGTACAAGAACGATGCATCTCACAGCACCTCGGAGTCGCGTCCTCCTATACCGGAACTCATGCCGCTGCAGGACTGGGAGGAGCAAGGAGTGGCTACCATGCTTGCACAGCTGAGGAAGGCTCTAGAAAGGACAGCGGGACATAGCAAGGGCGACCTCACTTTATGTCACGTCCCTAAGACACAGAGAGGACACAGGCGTGGTTATAGGATCCTATGCTGGGTCAGGTGTACTAGTTGGCACATCTTGTGCCATCAGGAGCTGATCTGCCTGTCAGCGTTTGCTACAGTAGCTCGGGGTGATTGACGTTCTGCCTCAGTCATCCCCAACATCCAGGAAACGCACATTCCACAGCTCGGCCTATCCTGCTCTCCTTTGGGCATCCAAGGGAGGCTCTTCCCACAGGAAAGGCTCGCCCACACCAGCTGAGTTCACAGATGTCAGAAGAGAACCACTGTGCTCACAGGCAGACCGTGACTAAATGTGACTGAAGGCTGAGGGACAGAGAAGGATGAGGTGATACAGGGTGACAGGAGAGCCTGCGGGCCTAGTTCTAGGTCAGTGGCCAGAATGGCTGCACAGGAGGGACGGAGGCCACAGGGGTGGACGAGAACAGCAGCTCTGGAGCCAGCACGCTGGGAGCTGGGGGTCAGACCTGGTACAAAGATGCAGAGGAGGCAGGTCTTTCAGAAGGAGAGGATTGTGGGCTGGAGCTACCAGGCAACCTTGCTTCCCCATGGTCTCCTCCCTCAGTCAGATCCGTTCTGTGTGCTCCAGCTGAATGACTGCTCTTAGCAAGGCTGTCCCCCCAGAGCTGCTAAAAACAACATCTCCCCATGCTTCTTGCACCCCATGACATATACTGCTGCTGTCCGGGAGGTGAAGGACTTTCTGTGCTACCGAAGGAGAGATTGTGTTGAGTGCACAGTCCATAGGTTCTGTTGACGGAGCTCTTGAGTCTGAGGCATGGCTGTGGCTGGCAGAACGCTCAGGCCCCTAGGAAAGTGACAACCCTTGAGTTCTCTTTCAGTTCCTGTCCCGTTAGGAGGTGGAGAAGATAGCCAAGATCTTTCAGGAAGGCTCCATGGTCCTTCTATACAGCTTACGCTCACAGGAAGTCCTGTGGCAGGGAGTGGCAGGCTGTCACTCCCAGTACTGATTCTGTCCTCACATTGCAGCTGTGTGGATCCCCTCCTGCAGCTCTGTGACCACATGTCCCTGGCTCTCAGCAGGAACTCGGGGGACCATACCTCATGGCCTCTCCCTCCATCCTCCGTCTCATCTCATAAGCCTGGTGCTCAAGGATGGGTGGGGGGGTAGGTTAGGTGGTCCCTTATGTTTAGCTATGTAAGCCGAGGGACACCTTATACATAGAGGGAGAGGAGACACAGGCAGGGGGAGACAGGCTTCTGGAGTCTTTTAACTGCTAATTCTAGGGCAGCAAGGAGAGGCTCTGGGTGCTGCTGGTGTCATGCAGGGTCATCACTGGGGTGACAGCTCCTGAGAGAAGAGCATGTTGTGATCTCCTACTCTGTGGCCATTTGCTCAATGTGGTCACTTAGCAGCTTGTATTGCTCTGGAAAAGAGAACAGGATTATTCCAGAGGAGCCACATGTGGACGTGGGCATTTGTTCCCAGGAACATGGGTTTTACAGAAGTGGTGTCATGTGTGGAGTGTGGCCCCGAGCAGCCAAAAGAAGGCGTGCTGAGCTCTGATGGCCGCCTGGAGAGGGGTGAGGGGGGCACTGAGGCCACCCGATGGCCACAGATGTCCTAATGCTCACACAGCCTCTCTTCCTGGCTGGGGACGAGTGACTGGCTCATCAGAACATAGCAGCAGTGGCAAACCTGGCTGTAGTGCTGGACTGGCAGCACTGAGACCAGAGGCTCTCGGCTGAGACAGAGGAGGACTCTGGGAAAGCTCAGAATCCCCCACTCTCTGCCATGCTGCCCTGATGGTGTGGGGCAAAACAAGCGGCACTCTAGAAGGTACCAACTGTGGCCGGGGTTCTGCTCTGCACAAGTGACACAGAATGCCAGGCCCATCTCTGACCTGGCTGTTACATGCCACCTGCTATCCCTCAGCAGAAATGACTTCCAGTTGTACAGCCAGAGTATATGCTCCATGGATTCGGGAAAGAAGGCAGGTTTCTGTGACAGACACCCTCCTTCTGACAGGGTGGGAAGCCCCAGTTTAGAGGGGCTGCTCTGGCTCCCCCATATCCCCAGCACAGCTCACCCTCATCCAGATTGCCGATCACAGCCTGCTTCTTCAGGAAGTCGCTGCACAGCTTCTTGTTCAAACCAAAGGCCAGCATGTTGTGGGTGAACGTGCTGGAGGAGAAACACCCGTGACTGTTACCCTCCTGCTAGCCCAGAAGAGGGAGCCAAGATACTGGGCTCTAATTCAGGGGGATGGCTGGGACCTGGAGCAGTATCAGGTGAAAATGTCACCCATACCGCTTACCTGGACTGTGCCCCTCAGGATCGAGAGGAGGACTGAGCACCCAGCCCTGTGCTCCTAAGACGTTAGACCCGCTCACCACCCCGTCCTGGTAGGTGGCCCCAGCTGCCTTCACAGCTTGCCTCTCACCCCAGCTGCCCGAAGGTGATGTTCTCATTGAAGCGCAGGCTGTCATCCCGTTCTTCCTGGGTCATGTGGCACCATTTCTCCCTGTGGACACAGGAAGGACAGGATGGGCTTCAGAATGGCCTGGGACCCTCCCTCCCTGCTCTGTGGAGCTGTTTGTCTGCACTGCCTCTTGGACACAGGGATCTGCCTTGGCAGGTGATTTCCACCCGAGCCTGGCACTTGCCAGGGGAATCCCAAACACCTTTAGGCATCTCTTCCCTGCCCAAAACAAAGTCAACAACATTCTATTGTCCTGGAGACCTGGGAGGGCCTTGGCCACTCACAGCCTTCCAAAGTGTTTGGTCCACTCAATGGGCCAGAAAACCCAGAGGGGCTAGGACCTTGCCTGGTATCCTAGGACCAGATGCACAAGGCAGCATCTGCAGGAGACATAAGAATGGGAGCCTGAGAATATGACAGCCACAATGTCCCTCCCACAGACTCTGCCTGACTTACAACATGGCTGTTTCCTGCCCCACATACCAAAAGGAGACACTCTATGCTTTTTCTATAGGCTTCCTGCACTGGCCTGTGGCCACACAGCCATTATGAAGCCAGCCTCAACTCTAGAGCCCAGTCGGGTAGTGGAGTAGTGGACTGTCTCTAAGAACTTTCTGTTCTCTGCACTGAGCACGTAGCATGGCATGGGTACTTGGGTAATGTTGGGGTATTCTTTGAGGCATCCACCTGGCCTGTGTAGAGGGAAGGCCCAGGAGTAGGACAGGGAGGTGTCTATGCTAACACCTCTGCCACTACCTCAGAAAGACCATCACGTGTCACACAGCACCCTGGCTTTTCCCCTTCCTGGTGAAACGGCCATCTCCTCAGAGGGCCTAGAAGCCCCCTGTGCCTGTGCTCACTGCCCATGTGAAGTCAGACCCTGATACTCATAGACAGATACACAGCTTTAGAGAGGAGGGAAGCTCATTGTGACCCACTTCCTCTAAAGAAAAGCCTCAGGATGGATGACTAGCTAAAGTAAGGTCGAGAGAGATTAAAGCACAGGGAGAGAAGACGGAGCATGGCAGAAGGAGAGGTCAGTCGTGGAGAAGCAGAAGGGAGGGGGAGAACAGAGCAAAGGGACGAAAGCCCAGGCCAGCTCCTCCTGACCCAGGCCACAGCTCAGCAGGATGGAGTTCACCTGCGGCCTCTGCAAGCTCAGGCAGCACATCTGTAAAGAGCCCAGAATGCACTGGAGGGACAGTGCAGCCTTCTAACACTTGCTGTGAGGCTGTTTAGGTGCAAACAACCATGTACCACCCAGCAACCTGCTGTGCACGCATGTGCACAGTACAGTACTCTCTGAGTGTGGCATACCGGCCCTGATCCTGCGTGCCTGATCCCACGAGGGAGTGACTCTCCTTGCTGTGGAAAGGACTAAAACTAAGGTGTCCCCTGACTTCTGACAAAAGAGTGGAAGGTCATGAGAACTAAGCCTGGCTGGTGCCTGCTGTTTAGCTGCTTCCTGGGAGCTGAGTTCAAGTCCCTTCAATGTCCTATGCATGGAACATCGATCACAAATCTACATCTCTCTCTCTCTCTCTCTCTCTCTCTCTCTCTCTCTCTCTCTCTCTCTCTCTCTCTCTGTGTGTGTGTGTGTGAGTGTGTGTGTGTGTCCAGCACATGATGGAAACCTCTGGGACTGGGTGATGGAAGGGCATTTTGCAGTGGCAGAGGTCCATGAAAAAGATGGCTGCTTGAGGCAGGGGGACCCGAGCTACTCTCCAGTAGACTGCTGTCCAGTTAGCTTCTTGGGCTCCAGTGAGGAGGCTTGTGAGGCCCAGGTGGCTGGCAGTTTCTTCATCTGGATTCAGAATAGACCACTGGACCAGTAGCATGAGCCAGCTCAGTTGTCTGAGGAGGCTATGACGGGCCTGAGATGTTCCCAGGAAGATGGTTTGTCTTAGTGTTCTCTGAGGGGTGGTGGGGGCTTGCTACTGTAAAGTCACAGCAACGAAGGTCATCAGAGTAGCACAGCTGGGAACTGTGAAACGTGATGCACACCCAGGCTCCAAGGAAACCTACCTGGGTTCACAACTCTTTATGAGTGGGTGTGGCTTTTACTCTAAATGTGTCGCAGAGGCTTCTGGGAACCATGAATCAGACTCCATGTAGGCTCAAAGGCAGCCCATCTTTGCTTCAAAGGACCCACCACCCAGCTCTTCTGGTCACCCAGTGGCTGAAGAAGAGGGGGTAGTTGTCCTTCGATGTGACCCTAGGTCAGGTGACACTCCCTTCCAGTGAGCGTGTGAGGAACTGCAAACAAGAAGCTTCTCCACTCCAACCCTCCACTTCCACTCAAGTGGAATTCTGGTGTCTGACCGAGGTGCAGAGGAGCCATGGACGGTGCCATGCTGCCTCTTGGAATAGCTCACAGTGCCCTGTTGTCTGACTGTCTTAGGGAGCTCTGGCCCTGACAAGCCGTATCTGTCTTGGGACATGCCCTGTCAACAGCCTACCTAGCACAGGCCATGCCTCCCCAGGGGTACCCTCCCCTCCTGTCAGAGGCCTTGGAAAAAACCCAGAGCTATAAATGGAGCAAAGTCACGTGGACACACACCTCTTCTCCTCCTGCTCTCCAGCATCCCCTCTGGAGCGGCAGCAGAAACAGGTAAACAAAGGCACATGTCAAAGTCATGCAAGATATGTGGATGGAAAAGAACAGGCAGAGAGGATTACCCTAGGTGGGAGCAGAGAGGACAGAGAGAGAAGGGAACCCAGCACGGACAGATGCCTAGGAGCTGGGAGAGCTCAGCAAGAAGGCAATGGCCTGCCTGGAGGCCACCCAGCCTCCAGACAGAGTGGAGTTCTCCCCAGGGTCTTCTGCAAGTCTAGGGCCTTGCCCACCCCATGCTCCCTCTGTTTCCCCAGGAAAGAGTCCCAAGACAATCATGGGACTCTAGGCAAGCCAGCTCATTCCCACTGGCCTCAGCTGTTCCTCTGACGAAGGAAGGGCTCTACCTCCAAGTCACTCGCCAGCAGAGGAGCCTTGGCCAGATGAAGCTCTGCTCATGTGCTCCCCCCCAACACAGCCGAAGGCCCAGGGCCTCCCTAGTGACAGTCGACTGAAGCTCTGAGATACTGGCTACAAAGTCCCACACTTGGTGGTCCAGTAGGGCCGGCCTGGCTTCCACAGGGACTGCCACTGCCTCATAGCTGAATGAGTGGGTAGCAACCTGTGCCAGTTCCACACAAAGAGGGCCTCTGTTCTTGGGGACAAGCCCTTCCTGCTTCCCATACTTTCTGACCAGGGTCCCACAGGGTGTGTGAGGAGCAGGGCTGTCTTGGGCACAGCTAGGAAGGTCTGCTTATGTTCAGCAATGGGCCCGGGGGCAGCTACATGGCCAGGCCTGCTTCTAACAGTGAATTGAGAGGTAGGGTGGAAGCCAGTGGTCTCCCTTGGGCAGAGGTAGCATTTTAAGGAGGATCAGGCCATATCATGCCAGAGCCCCAGAACAGGAAGCACCATGCAAGCTGAGCACCCCACCCCCAAAGCTGTGAGCACTGACCCCTCAGGCAGCTTGCAGGGCTCTGGGACACACGGGTGGAAGAAATCATCAACAGCAGCTCGGCCATTTTGCTGGCTCCCAAGGACTACTTGGGAGACTGAGCCAAGACTTGGTCCCCTCCCTCAAGGCTGGAGGGGACACTCTTGGCTCCTACCTGGTGGTGGGGGATCGCTTCCGCCTCTCACAGTGGACAGCATCGAAAAAGGCCGCATTCCAGAACCTCAGCGTGTGCCTGCAGGACAAGACATGGTAAAGATCTACCCGGGTCCTCTCTTCCCTCCACACCAAAAGCAACGCTTCTCATCCCCTGAGTGTCTGAGAAGCCTGAGACAACTTGGGTGAACCATGAGGCCTGGTCACCACCTAGGCATCAAGGTGCTTCTTGACTCTGCCTCCTCTCTGAGCTAAAACACTCCCCAGAAGAGTTGAAAAGGCCTGTGGGATTATGGAGTGGGCCGACCGGCTCAGCTGCTCAGGCAGGTGGACTGAGGGGAGGAGTGGAGGCCAGCGCGGCTCCCAAGAGAAAGTGGACAACTAGACCCCTGCTCTGCTGAGTGGGGTCTCCTCAGAAACATAGGAAGCCAGCAGCTATGCTCCAGGCAGTCATAGGAACATAGCCAGCCACAGGAACATGGACTCAGTAACCGCTCTTCCTGTAGAAGATCAGGGCTGTCCTATGGTCTACATCTGCACAGCAAGGTTCCATGTGACGGCTTTGACTCCACTGCATAGCATGTGGGATAACAGACCCCATGTGGGACAACAGAGACCATGTGGCCCAGTGTCCACAGGAGTGACTTCTGGCCCTTTGTTACACAGGCTCCAAGAACCTTAGGGCCCAGCACGGTCACTGAGGGAACAGGGACCCAGTGAGCCCCTCCCTTCTGTGCTGCACTGCATCTCCAGTTGACTCAGGCCCTGCCTCCCTGTGCTGACCTCTGTCAGCCTCCACCTAGCCCATGGCACTCCAGCCACACATCCCTACTGGACTGTGACCTTTGAGGGAGGGGGCGTTCTGTTCCACGCTAGAGTTGCTCCTCGCTGGTACCTGAGATGGAGGCTGCCGGGGCTCCTACCTGCTGCTGCCTTGGCCTGTTTTGTGCTAACACCTGCTGATGTTATCACAATGATACATAAAGATATGTATTTGACTTAAGATTTACGGCTAGACGGTCTCAATAGCCTTGTACTGCTAAAACTCCCTGGCTGCACCCCAAGATGGCAGAGGAAAAGCCATCACAGGGTGACCCTGCTTCCCAACCCACTCTGAGGGACTGACTTGAAAGTGTGGTAACCACACTTTCCTTCCCGACGTGCCCGGCAGACCCTTGCAGTAGACCTCACTCCTACAGCTCTCTGCATCTTAAATTCACCACATCAGAGAGCCAGCAGATGAGCCTTTGGGGGGACACATTCAAAGCACAGCCCCTGGCTCTCACTCTGTGTGTGTGTACATGCACAGTGACATTAAGATATAATTTATAGCCCATGGGGTTACCGAATAACATGGAAGTGCAGACAGCTCTGGCACAACAGAATTAAATAAGGCGTGTTGGAGACTAGAGATGCCTCAGTAGCTAAGAGCACTCACTACTCCTCCAGAGGGCCCGACTGCTGATTCCCAGCACACACAAGGCAGCCCACAATCATCCGGAATGTAACTCCAGTTCTAGGCCCCAGTGCTCAGGTCTAGCCTACAAGGGCACCAGGCCCACATATGGTACGCAGACATACATACAAGCAAAACATCCCATGCATGCACACTAATCATTTAGAGTGTTGGATAAAGGAATAAATACGGATCACGGCTCAGTGATTGTTCAGTATATTCGGCTGTGCCGCTCCCCCGCTGTCTAAGCCCAGAGCACTTTGGCAGCCGCGGACGGAGCCAGTCACCACCACGGCTGCTTATCCGCTGCAGCCCCACTCCCTGCACTCTGCACAAGCAGCATCAGATGACCCATGCTCTCCTGCGGCTGCCTTCTTTTACCAGTACAATGTCTCGTGGGTCACAATGCAGGCTTTCTCCGCAGTTCATAACGGGGAGAGACATCATGCTTATGTTAGAGCCAGCTGTCCATTTGCAGCTGTTCTGACCAGTGTGCTGTGAGCGCCTATGGATTCCCATGTGGGTACATGCCTGGGCCCACAATGGAATGGCTGCTCACATGGTCACCCGGTTAGCCCCTGGGGAGCTGCCAGGCATTTCCACCATGGTCCCCATGGAGAGTCTTCACATCCCTACGAATACTTGCTGGCATCTATCACCTCGCTGTGACTACCCTGGAGGTGAGGATGGCCACCGTCCTTGCTGGAGACACAGGCAGCCGAGGGCTGGGCAGCTGCTGCGCTGGTTTGGATGGGCAGAGTGCAGATGGGCCTTACCAGATGGGTTGCTGCCTCAGGTGCGTGTACAGGTAAACCTTCTCCCCCTTCTGCTCATCCTCGGGGCTGATCACGGTCACTGTAGGAGTAAGGAGATCTGAGGGCAGCCTGGGCTGGGCTCCCCGTGGGCAGATCCTACAGACCTGTCTCCCAAGTCATCAGGTTACACTGTCCTAATTCCATGAAGCTTTTTGCTAGCCTTAGTCTAGGGCTTCTTCCCTATGTGGTCCCTGAAGTGGCAGCCTCCCTCTAGCAGCTGGTTTAACTCCCCTGGGGTAAGGATTTGCACAGTCTGCTTAGAAAGGTGACTTGCTTGTTCCTGTTGTTGGCTAATGGTCAGCCAGTTTAAGAGACCTGAAGGGTGTGCCTTGATTACCAGAGATGCAGGCTCTACCTTCCTTCTCCAGCACTTCTTCATCCCAGGTATCAACCCCCAGGCTCCACCCTGCCATAGGCCCCATCTCCCTCTGGCCCCACTCCCTAGCAGCCCAGAGAGCTCTGTTCTTACCAGTCTTCATCTGTCTGTCTCTAGGCTTGCTCTCCTCTTCCCTGGAGGGAGAGAGAGAGCAAAGCCGTGAGAAGGAGCCCGAGCCACACACACACACACACACGCTGCCTGCTTCTCTGTGCAGCTCCTCTGAAGAGAGGTTGGGGTCAGTGGCACGGTGGCAATTGGCAGGTCTGGGGACTGAGGCCTGTGGTGCTGAGACTACATGACACCATTTTCTGTGGGCCTACTGTGTGGACATGGAGGGATAGGTCATGTACCCTGGCTACAACCAAGCCTCAAGCAGCGAGCGCCCTGTATGGTTCCCTTGTACTGTTGTGTCCTCTCTTGAAAGTGTCTCAGCTTCAGCACCTCTGTGACCAGTGCACCCATCTCAAGAGCTCTCTGAGGCCAGGTCTGGTGGCTCATGACTTTAATGCCAGCACTCCAGAGGCCGAGGCAGGTGGATCTCTGTGAGCTCAATGCTAGCCTGGTCTACATATCAAACTAGGATAGCCCGAGCCACATAGACACCTTGTCTCAAACAGAACAACACATCTGCCAGGGCAGCCTCTCCTGGAGGCCTCAGCACCCAAGGCCTTCCTGGTCTCGCTCACGTTATGACAAAGTCATATTCTCCTGTCAGCCCACGAAACATGGCTCCTGGTCCCTGCGTGTCAATGAGCAGACAGCAAGTGGAAGCTATGAGAAGCTCGGGGTGCAGAGTCGTGCTGGGCTGGCAGCTGTGTGACGCAGGGACAGCTGTAGGGCCAAGACTAGGTGAGCCACCGAGCCACTGCTCCCCCACAAATCCATCTCAGGAAGCCCTGTGCGCATGCACACTCACTCATTTCTCCTGACCAGTGGTCCTTTCAGCTTGGTCTCCAGCCCCCCGAAGAAGCCTTTCACGTTCTCCGTGTTCTTCAGCAGCCGCTCAGCGATGTCCTTCTTCTCCGCCAGCCAGCTGTTAGCTGACTTCAGGTAGGAGTCAATGCTGCCTGCTGGCTTCTCCCTGGGCTCTGTAGGGGGCAGGTGCGGCTTGCCTTGGAAGTGGGGAGAAATGGAGTAAGAAACAGTCTGCAGCTCTGACAGGAGAGGGAGTGTGCCTGAAGGGCTTCCCAGAGACTGCAGGACAGGGGTGCTGCCCTCGATCTCCTCAGCAGGGTGATCAGGGGCAGCCGGCTTAGCAAGCTCCCCAGACAAGGGAAGGCCAGGTCTCTCTGGGGTGTTTAATAAGCACAGAGTATGGAGAAGTGGACAAGAACCATGGGAGGGGGAGGTGGCCTGAAGGAGCTGGCATCTGGGAAGAAGATAAGAGAGGTCTACACAGAGAGCCACACAGCAGGTCTGAGAGACTGGCAACAGGAGAGAAGAGGCTGCCCTGGGTGGGATGCAGGATGGGGACTCAGACCTGTCTCAAAGGCATCTGGAATAGGCCTTTACCAGGTAAGTACAGGAGAGAAGCGATGGGGAGAGGTGGGTGGGGCGTTCCAGAATTCCTTCCTTAGGGCAGTGAGTGGAAATAATCCACAAAGGAAACCATGATGGACTCTGACTGGGTGAATAGGATAAACCTTTCCAGAACTGGTAGTAGCCGGCAAGCAAACAGCCCACCATGATCCATAGTAATCGGACCATTTGGGGATGCTGGGAGCAGGAGATCTGGAGCACGTGCAGAGGGAGGGGCTGCACCACGAGAGTGCAGCGATAGTGACAAAGCCGGCTGTGAGGACTACTCTATTCCCCATGCCCAGATCTCCATAGGGAGGGGCCCAGCACCCCCCTGAAGAGTTGAACTGGTCTCTTCTGGCTGGCTGCAGGGCTCAGCATGAGATACCCAGAGCTCCTGCACACTGGCCCTTTCAACACCATGAGCCGAAAGAGACTTCCAGGCTCTGTATCGTTGTTTGGTCATCCCCAGTCACCCTGGGCTCTTCCCAAGATATAATCCTAGGCTGCTCCCTGGGATAGCCAGCTCTGAATCCTGCTTTGCCGGGGTGGAAAGCCGAGACCCCACATGTAGCACTCCTGCCTCCTGCACAGACAGCCATGCCCTGACCCCAAGTGCATCCCACGTCCCTTCCCACACCAGGAGTCTCATGCCTGCTGTTCTCTTCCCAATATCAGCTCCTCTCTGGAAGCCACACAGCACCTGCTGTTAATAAAGGAAGCTTCTCTTCATGCCGTGTGACAACACCCAGCTCCCCTCCAGGCTGGCTGCTCTGCTCAGGCTTACTCACCCAGATGGTAGTACGTGAAGCACATGGTCATGAGGTTCTTGGCTGGCCCGAAGTCGTCCATCTGGTGGCATCTGGGGTGGGAGCAAGATTGGCTGGCTAGAGCCTCACTGCCTCTGCTGGGATCAAAGGCGTGTGCCTCCCTCCACAGCACGGCGCCCTTGCAAGTTAGTGAAGCATACCAAGATGCTGCCACAGCGGCGACTGGAACAGTGGTCAGGAGAGCCACTGCGGGTGCATGGTTGGGCTCTAGGTGTGGGAAAGTGTTCATGGCCCTCGGTTTGGTCACTACTGCGGGTGCATGGCCATGCTCGGGGTGTAGGAAGGTGTCTGTGGCCCTCGGCCTGCTCTCTTTCACATTAAGATCAAATCAAGGCCCAGGAAGCTCAGCCCAGTGCACCTCAGCAGGGGCAGGACCAGAAGTCACCTCAAGCCTTGGTCCCATACCACTGATGCAGGCCATTTGGCCATTGCTCAGGGCTCAGCAGGGTATTCAGTGCTGTCCCTCACAGGATCCTCGGGTCTCCTGGAGGGCTGTAAGGACATGAACCACTGGATAACCCAGGCTCAGACTCAGCAGTGGGGTGGGGTAGGACTATGTATAACTCCTAAGACCCAGGTGACAGCTGTCCCTAATCTTGGTCCACTGGGCAGCACTTGTAAGTCACAAGTGGATAAATACTCATGCCTTTCACACCACTTGCTAAAAATCAAAACAAACTATTGCATACAAGGACAGTGGCATACTGAGTACCATTCTTACTCCAAAAAGGGACTGTTTTACTGTCCTGCAGTATGCTAAAGATTGCAGCCAAATATTAATGGGAGAGTCACAGAGCCATTCAGCTCAGCAAACAAAAGGAGAGAAAGAAGCTTTAAGAAGAAGAAATTCGGGGCTGGTGAGATGGCTCAGTGCTTAAGAGCACTGACTGCTCTTCCAGAGGTCCTGAGTTCAAATCCCAGCAACCACATGGTGGCTCACAACCATCTGCAATGATATCTGATGCCCTCTTGTGGGGTGTCTGAAGACAGCTACAATGTACTTACATATAATAAGTAAATAAATAGTTTAAAAAAAAAAAAGAAGAAGAAATTCTACTAGACCAGTTACGATGCCGTACTGTGAATGAGGAGGGCAAACAGAATGGCCTCATCTCCCATCAGGCAGGAGGGAGCCCACTACTCTGCTCCTGGAAGATGCTGGTCACGGACTCTAACCTGAGTGGTGCCAGCTGTTGTGGGCATTACTCACAGCTGGCTCGTTGGGGGTGGGAAAGGAGGACAGGACAGCTGCAGGAGACTGCGGAGAGGCCATTACTCACTCGAACAGGACCACCGCGAAGGACTGCACCAGACGGTAGAAGGTTGGCTCTGACACACACTTGGACTTGCAGCGCTGTGGAGAAAGAACCAGGCACGTCGGTGGGACTTGTCACTCTGCATGTCTCCATGCACCTGGAAGGGCCCCAATGGTCCCTTCCCCTCCAGCAGCACTCTGGGAGGACAAAGGCGCTCCCCAGGGTCCTCTGCACTGGACCCCAGAGGTTTTCTGTGTCATCCTCACAGGATTTCATAAAGAAACTTCACAACCAGCTCCCCCATGGGGAGAAGTATGGAGAGACAGAACCCCAAATGACAACACTGGCTATTCCTGGGTTTGTTAATTACTTTTTTCTGCATGTTCTAATTTCTCTATGAAGAGTACATCCCTGCAGTAGGAACATACAAGATGCGATTCCTAAGCTTTCTCAATACCTTGGGGTTTGATGGTTTTCACAACTTTGACTATGTTACCTTTTGCAAAATTTGAACACTAGAGGTTATTTAATAAGAGTGTGCATGGACATAGCCCACATGCTTGTCTCTGGAAAAAAATGTGTGTGTGGGGGGAGGGCTTCCCAAGATTGCCTTTCAAAGTAGAGCTTCCAGTCGGGGAGACCATTACATCCTGCCTCAGCTGTCCTCGACCTCTTTCTACTGGCTTGCACCCTCCACTCTCTTCACCACAGTGGCGCTGGCCAGCTTGTTGGTTCCACACCCCCCCCAGCACCCCACACCTCCCCCAACTCCCCCCAAGCCCCCTGGGCCTTGCATTCACCTGTGCGCTCACAAAGCGTGCGAACCACTCCCGGCCTTTCCCATCTTCTCCGCTGCAGTACTCTCCAAACTTGGCTTTCTCTTCCTGGTCCAAGTCCTCCCTGGAGGAAGGGCAGAACAAAAACAAGGATCCAGTTCCTAGAACAAAAACTCCAGGTAGGAATGGGGGAAAGGGGGGAAGGACAGTGGGGTGCTGTTCCCAACCCTCAGCACCTTCCAGGGAACAAACCCAGGGACCGGTGTCTTGTATTTATTTCTGAAACCAGGAGCCTGACTTCAAAGTCCAGATAAGGCGAGAGCGCTGAATGGGACCTGTCCAGTGGGAACTCCATCCACGGCTCTGCTAGCAGGCCTCCTGATCTGAGCCCAGATGAGGGCACAGGCACCAAGAGCCCTTACTGCTCTAGGAATAGCTAACATTTCCCTCAAATTTAGAGATGACAATGAGGCAGAAAGCTTGAGATTGGCCAGCTTACATAATTTGTACTTATGGGTTTGTCACTACATAATAATATCATTAAGTATATATAAATATTATATAGAAACATTAACATATTAACATATGTTAATTGATATATAATAATATTTAACATTATATGTATTGAAATATAAAACATAATATCTAAACTATTATAACTATGCAAAATATAATAATATATATTCACATATTTTTTTTTTGTCCCAAATTTGCTATGTGGCCAATGGTGACCTTCAACCTCCTGCCTCTGCCTCCCAAGTGCTGGGATTACAATTCTATGCCACCATGCTTGGTTTCTCCACTGCTCAGGATGAAATGCACACTGGGCAAGCCCTTTGTCAGAAGAGTCACAGCCATAGCCCGACAAGTCAATATTCCTATTGCTTTTAATGAAAGGCGACAGTCACACTGTAGATCCGGTTCCTCTCAACTAGAGCTCTGGGCAGACTGTCCCCGTAAGCATGATAGAATCCAGGCACACAGCCAGAGGAGCCTCAGTGCCTGAAGCTCTGTATGTCCCCCAGCTTAGGAGACACTGATGTGGCTGGTCCAGAACGGATCTGACTTCTGGCGAGCTGCCATAGCTGCTAACAGTGACTGGACCCTGGACCCTCTGAGTCTGGGCTGCCACCTCCCTACTGTCCCAGAGGAGGCGCCAGTTAACAGTGACAGGACAGGCAGAGCCATTGGGCCCACCCAGAGGTCCCTTGCTCAGGCTATACTCTAACCCCAGGCATCTGCTCTCTGGCCCTTTGCTATTGGTGCCCCTGCTTTAAAGGTACGACTGCAAGTGTGATGACTTGAGTGATTCCTGGAAGCCTCGTAAAAAGCTGGATGTGATGGGCCGCTGATCTGTAGTGAGCCACACAGCAGCATAACAAGAGAGCCTGTCTCAACAAGGTAAAGTGAGGACTGACCCCTGAAAGTTATTCTGTGACCTACACACACAAACACACACACACATACGCAGGCACATGCACACGCACATGCACATATGCACGCAAGCACAATCACACATATGCACACACATGCACATACACTCACATGCATGCTCACACATATGCACGCACACATACACACATGCACACACTCGCACACACACACTCATGAACACATGCACGCACATGCATACACACAGACATGCACATACATGTGCACACACACACACATACACGAAGGCGGAGGGGCCATGGCTATAGCTGAGCAGTAAGGCTCTTGCCTAGCATGGATGCCCTATCCCTGTAGTGGTTTGAATGGCAATGGCCCCCATAGGCTAATATCCTTAAATGTGAAGTGTGTGTTGGAAGAGGTGTGTCACCGGGGGTGGGCTCTGAGGTTCAAAGGCCCACACCATTCCTAGGTAGCACTCTCTGCCTTGCTCTTGTGTAGCAAGATGTAAACATCCAGCTACTGATCTAGCGCCCTGTCTGACTGTCCGCCGCCATGCTCCCTCCTACGGTGGCCATCCCAATAGATGTCCTGCTGTATAAGCTGCCTTGACTATGGTGTCTCTTCACCACAACAGAACAGTGAATGAGACAATCCTTAATACTCAGGGGGGAAAAAAAAAAACAATGCACAGAGAAACCTGGAATGAGTATGTAAGCTCCTAACAGAGCGTGTCATTGTTTCTCCACAGCAGCTTCTGCCTAAGTGACAACAGGGGTACAGCCATAACTTGTAGGCTACTGGAGACACCATGGTGGACAGTCTCTTGTCTGGTTCCTTGGTCCCCATAAAGCCACTCGTGAAATGTCGTCAAGCAGGGAGACCAAGAGGACGTGGATGAACTGGCTACTCTGAGCCTGTGTTCCAGAGTCAACTTGGATAAGCAGGGAGCACAGTTCTGGCCAGGCTGAGGACCTCTGTGGCCACACTTGGTCTGACATCACAACTAGGAGTTGTTGGTATGATGCCCTCCAGACAGTCCTGGACAGCCTGTAGGGACATGACCTGCTGCTCCAGGAAACAGGCATTAGTTGGTCCAGGACTGGAAACTCTACCTGTTTTTGTTGTTGTTTTCCAGAGCTAAGGAACAAACGGGGTGGGGGGCACTTGAGCTTATGAAGCAAGCACTCTACCACTTCGGTAGTTTGAATAAAAATGGCCTCCACAGGGAGTGACAATTATTAAGAGACACGTGGCCTTGTTGGAGTGGGTGTGACCTTGTAGGAGTTGAAGTGTGTGACTGTGAGAGTGTGACTGTGTGACTCTGAGGTCTCATGAGCTCAAGCCATGCCTAGTATGTCTCACTATCTTCCTTCTGCTGCCTGCAGATCAAGATGTAGAACTCTCACCCGGGCAGTGGTGGCACACGCCTTTAATCCCAGCACTTGGGAGGCAGAGGCAGGTGGATTTCTGAGTTCGAGGCCGGCCTGGTCTACAGAGTGAGTTCCAGGACAGCCAGGGCAACACAGAGAAACCTTGTCTCGAAAAACAAACAAACAAATAAACAAACAAACAAGATGGAGAACTCTCAGCTCTTTCGTCAGCACCAAGTCTGCCTGCGTGCCACCATGCTTTCACCATGATGATAATGGACTAAACCTCTGAACCTGTAGGCCAGCCCCAATGAAGTGGTTTTCTTTATAAGAATTGCTGTAGTCATGGTGTCTCTTCACAGCAATAGAAGCCCGAACTAAAACCCCTACCCTCCAGGAGTGGGAACTCTTTAAAATCTCCCAATGTGACTTTATAGGCAGCGAAGAGTCACTGTGGCTTATAGTAGGTAGCAGGCTACTGGTCTTAAAAGGCCTACTCTGCATCCCAAAGAAGGCTTAACCCCCATCCCAATGAGGGCCCACCCTTCTTCTCACAAAGAGTCTACCTTCCATTCCATTGTGAGCCTACCTTCCATTCCACAGAGAGCCTATTCATCCCACAGAGGGCCTAGCCTCCACCCCACAGAGGGCCTAGCTTCCATCCCACAGAGGGCCTAGCCTCCACCCCACAGAGGGTCTACCCTCCACCCCACAGAGGGTCTACCCTCCACCCCACAGAGGGCCTACCCTCCAGAGAAGATCTTCTCTACATAGCTGCGCATGAACTCTCGAAGTGCCAGGGTCTCCTCATCTGGGGCTGAATCAGCACTCTGATTGGAGGAGAAGGACTCATTGGAGGAGGAGCGCCGGTCCTGGTCCCAGGATGGGTGTGACAGTGACTCGCCCATGTCGTTCTCACTGTCTGCGGACTCGGTGGTCTCACTCTCAGAGGCACCATCACCCAGGGAGCCATCTGGGTCCTGGAGTGTTGAAGGTGCAGCTTCCAAAGGAGGGGAGGTAGGTGGTTCAGTCCCAAAGTCAATCAGGGAGCCCACAGGGACTTCTGGGGCCTCCATGGTAGCTGGGCTGCCAAATAGGATGGGTACAGCCTGAGGAGCGGCTTCCTGAAGCTGCAAGCACGAGCAGTGTGTTGGGAGCGTCTGGCCACCAAGGCTGAAGTCTCTAGCAGCTCAGAGGCCCTATGGTGTCTGGAATGGAAAAAGACATAAACACTGTCACTATGAGAAGGACAGTTCCCCAAGGAAAGTCACCGAGCACAAATAGACTTGAGGAAAGCGTGAGTCACACTTTCCCTACACAGATGATAATCTCTGTACCTACAGAGACCGGGATGCCAACAGCCAGTGTCTTGTTTCTCATGTCCACTTTGCTGCCATGCAGAAGCATGGCATGGGCACACTAACTGAAGGAGCCCAGGGACCCCAGCATCGGGATCCCTCCCTGCTGAGTAACCCACACACTCTACATCCTCCAGCCAAGCAGGGCAGAACTAAGGACGCCCATTTTCACGGGCAGCAGACATGGGCCAGGTACAACGCTCGTGCTGGCTCACTGGCCTCAGTAGCTGTGGAAGTGGCATCCTGCTAAGCCATCATCCCAGAGCTCCTTTCTCTTCAGTCTTCCCTCTAGACCTGGAGCCTGCCCAAGCTTCTTGCTGCTTCTCAGACTCTTCACGGTTCCCTGTGCCACAGCCACCGGGATATCAATGGGAAGTCACCCCCTGTGCTTTGATCATGAAGCCTGCAGTTCCTCCTCCTCTCTCTCCTCCTTTGCTCCTCTCTTCCTTCCCCCTCTCCCTGCCTCCCTATCCCCACTGCAGAATCCTGTTCACCCTGATGGCCAAGCTCACGTGTCCGTCTTTTGAGAGGCTTCACTCCACAGCAATTTAGAATCAGTTCTGGTCCCTGCTGACCTGGCACTCGCATTTCATCTAGACTCGTGTACGAGCAAGTGTGGACTCTTACTGAGCATCCGGTGCATGAATGTGCACACTTCAATGGGGACATGCTCCTGCTGCTGAGAGAGCATGGATGCAGATCACACAGAGCAGAGCTGTGATGCAGACTTCAGCTTCCAAACCCAGCTTCTGCTACGGTTCAGAAGCCATTCTTGTCAGTTCTAAGGAGCAGCAGCCAAATGGCCAAGACCTGGGACAGTCATGCTTGAGGGTAGAGAGAGCACCCTCACCCTTCCTCAGGCCTATAAAACAAGATACCCAGGAGGCGACTGCAGGGGCAGGGACGCCATCTGTACGGCTGAGATTGCTGCCTCTTCTGGGGGAAGTGCAGTCCAAACCCACACATGCTGACTCCTGAGCGATTAACACTCACAGGTTGATCACAGATTCCCTCCAAACACCCAGCCTAAGATATTTTTAGATTCTCTGAGTCAGAAAGATAGAACAGCTGGCTCTGGCCACCCTCCTCACGCACACATGCACAGGGGCAGAGGTCCACGTGCAGCAGAGCCCGTAAAGCCTTCCTTGGTGCAGAAGAAGCTCACAAGCCTTGGCTCTGACATCTTGTCTAGCCCAGGACAGTAGCAAGGACCCCCAAGGTCAGAAGGTAGTGAGTGGTGGCTCAGAGAGAATGGGGTAAAGAGGGGTACTAGGACTCCTTCTCCTAGTAACATCTGCTCCCTATGGCCCTGCTTTCTGAAAAGGTCCCTGTGTGAGACAGCAAGACTGGGTGAGATATGGAAGGGCCATGTGGAACAACATCGCTACTCTCCAAAGAACAGAAAGCCACACATATGGCCACAGGCTTGTAAACTCACTCTGCCCTAACTAAAACCCTGATTCTTACCAATACACAAACCACTCAGATGAACACCCAAGAGGAAGCCCAGCCGCTAAATGCTTAGACAAGTCTCAAGCCACACTAATCACCACAGAGAAACACATAAAATTTCCAGTGGTGGCTCATGCCTGTAATCTCGAGTAGAGACACGAAGACCCAGAGTTCAAGACCATGCTCAGCTAAAAAGTGAGTTTGAGGCTATTACATTTGACCCTGCATTCACAAAAAAATATTAAACATACAAATCATAACATCTATGTACCAAGATACAAAATTTTTTAAAGAAAGCAATCAAGCATGCCTTTAACCCCAGCGAGGCAGGTGGATCTCTGAGTTTTAGGCCAGTCTGGTTTGCAGAGCTAGTTCTAGAACTGTCAGGGCTACACAAGAAAACCCTGTCCAAACCAAACAATGCAAACACCACCAAAGGTCTAGTAAAACTGACATTCTCCAGCTCACAGGCAATGAGGGCAGATGCAACTTCAGAAATTTCATGTCTCTCAAGAATGTGAATGCTTGAAATTTATTCTAGGTAAAGAATACCAACCATCAAAATCAGTTATACAGCCAAAAAAAAAAAATGTCATTACAATTACAATAGTAGCTGTGACCCTGACAGAAAGGCTTCTACACACAGTGAGTGAAGAAATTATAATATGGACATCATAGCAGTCAGTGTCTGAGGTGGTGAGGACAGTGTTGATAGTTACAGAAAACGCCCTACTGTGCACTGTCTCTACTGAGACACTGGGGACACTGAGATAGAACAGTGGAGACACATCAGCACTGGCAACAGGATGGCACTGAGTCCAGGCCCCTCCCTCAGACCATTATCATACCAGTGACCCATGAGTCAAAGAAGAAGCCAGTTTAAGAGAGCAGAAGAGGCACATGGGCCTGCCGTCACAGGAGACACAAGACAAGACTGACTTATTAAGGCTGTTTCTGACCCAGCACTGAGCTAGTGGGGCTGGCAAGGCGAATAAGTCACCCATTTCCAAGAAGCCCAGAGCTGCCTCTGCCTCTATGTCTTAGTCATTGTTGTATTGCTGTGAAGATACACAGTGACCACAGCACTTCTTAGAAAGGAAAGCATTTATTGGGGCTTGAGGGTCAGTCTATTATCAGCATGGCAGGAAGCAGGGCAGTGTGCAGGCAGCCATGGTGCTGGAGAGGAGCTGAGAGTTCTCCAGCTTGACCCACAGGCAGAGAGACACTGAGAGCCTAGCTTGAATGTTTGAAATCTCAAAGCCCACCACCCCCAATGACACACTTCCTCCAACAAGGCCACACGTCCTAATCCTTTCAAATGGTACCACTCCCTATGAGCCTATGGTGGCCATTTTCATTCAAACTACCACAGATGGTGACAAAAACACAGGCCAGGGACAGGAGAGGAGGCAAAGGGGACAGAGGCTGGCCCTGGGCCTTGAGCGTGGCAGCGTGTTTACTGTCCTTGCCCCCAGGATGCTCAGCATCATGGCCTCATCTCTCTCAGAGGAAGAGGCCAGCCAGCCAACCCTGCATACAGAACCAGGATGCCTAGGGGGTGAGGTGACCAACCCTCCTTACGGAACTGAGATGCCGTGGTGAAGTGGCATTTGCCATAGGGCCTGGGCAAATTCCTCAGGAAGGAAACACAGCTAGACACTTCTCAGTGAGACAAGGCACTGGTCACTGTAGCTTTCACGGCAACCTCAGGGGATGATCTCGGATGGCCTGAGGACATAGGACTGACTGTCTCTGCTTTGAGTCAGCCAGGCTCTTCTATTCAGAAGCACAGATCCAGTCATATCTGAATTCCTAGAGTTTTCAAGGCATGATGAAATCTGCTATGTGAAATCTCCCAATTTTGCAATGGTGGCAATGAATTTAAATTCATTTCAAAGAACATTGCGGGCCCTAAATCTGTGGATCTACAGGAGGAGGCTCCAAGAGGCCCTGGTGGTGCCTAGGCTAAGGCACTAGCTTTCAGTCTCAGGACTCTGATCACAGTGCAGACATCCTCAGGCTTCTAGAAAAGCTACCGGTCTCCCTGCACTTGCTGGTTCACGTTCAAGGTGCTGCCCAGTAACTGTGATTTCCACACTCAGCTGAGATTCCCTCATGCCACAAACCCACTGGTAGCTCACTGTGAATCGGCCGCTGTATGAGGAGCAGGAGGTGCAGCCAAGAGCAAGAGCCAGAGTGTCTGTTTCTGTGTGCTCACGAAGTACAAGAGTCGGTAAAGTGCTTGCCACAGAAGCACGAGGGCTGTGTCTGATCCCTGAACCTGTGTAAACGCAGACGGGCAGCCACGTGCAACAGCGAGCACCGGCAATCGCAACACTAAGGAGGTGAAGACAGGAGGAACCCTGAGCTCCCTGGCCAGCCAGCCTACTCAGATCTGCGAGCCCAGGCTCACTGAGAGATCCTATTTCAGAAAACGAGGCATGAGATGTATAAACTGAAGACCTGATTGCTCCACGGCACGGTTAAAAGGAAGGTTTTTATTGTAGATATGAGAGAGGGGCCAGCCAGAGGAAGAGTCGAGAACAGAGAGGTAAAGCAGTAGACTGAGCATGGCCAGCAGACTGGACCTGGATATGAGAGAAGCAGAGAGACAGAGACGGGGGTGGTGGGGAGTGATTGATGAAGACAGAGAGAGGGAGGGGCCCAGCCAAAACAGCAGGGTCGTAAGGAGAAGGAGTAGCTGGGACATTTGAGGGAGGAGAGGAGGGGAGGTGGGACCTGAAGTGTGTAACAGGCACTTTTTGGTGAGACTGAGAGATCCTGGAGGCCAGCTGTGGTTTGGTCTGCTTCACAGTCACCACAGATATCCATTTGTCCCTTCTACCTGCGATAAGGGAAACCTCTCCTTTTGGTAGAGAGGACCAGGCTTTACAAGTTCCTGAGCGATACTGGCTTTTTTTTTTTTTTTTTTTTTTTGTCTAACCACCAGAATTTGGGGGAAATGGAGTTTCCTTTGGACCTAACATAGGACAATTGAGGAAGACATCTGACATTGACCTCTGACTATACATACACACACACACACACACACACACACACACACACACACACACACACATGAACAGGTATACACATATAGTACTGAGATTTTCTCAGGTGATACCCCAAACAGTGCTGCTAGGTCTGGGAAGGAGATCCGGACCCCAGAAGCCAGTACCACACACAAGTGCTAAGGTGACCATGGCCTAGGAGGTCCTTGCAGCTGCTGGGCAGCTGCTCATGGGAAAGCAGACCAGGGAAGCCCTCTTATCTACAGAAGGCCTGGGTGGGCCATAGCAAGTTGGAGGGAAAGGTAAATGCAGGCCAAGGTGGCAGAGCCGAACAGGTAGACCCTGGCAGGCTGCTGTGGTATCAACATTCTAAGGGTAGAGAGGGCA